ACTCACTGGAACTTCAGCGGAAAAAAATTCCATGGCTGAGACAAGATTTTTCTCATAGAACACAATGTAATCACAAACTGCTCGTGTTCAGCTGACAGGGCAACTACAGCTTTCAAAAATATTGGATTTGGATTTTTACCTAATTTTAGATCATAAACTTTTTCTGAAATTCTTAAAATCCTTTAGTTGTCTTAAAAAACACTTTATAATCATTAGCTCCGGCGCTTTGCTTCGCTCTAGCTCCTCTTGCTCCGATTGGTCAAAGCGATCACGTGATACACGAGGCCGCGCTCACGTACGCTCGAGTGCCAAGTTTTTTTTTTCCAAGACTATAATATTCAAATCCTTGTCTACCTGATGATCTAAATGGCACAGAACCTGTTTTTACTCTAACTTGTGTATGTAAGTAACATTTACTTGCTCAGTGCAAGGCAGTTGGTTTCCATGGTTTTACAAAGTAAGATGAACTTACTCTTAAAGTAAAGGTTACCACATATTTCAGATTTGAGGAACTGACTGATTAGTTGTCACAGCTTCACAACATGAGTTTTATGAATGAAAACTGAAGTACACTTAACTTGCTGCACCTAGTTTGATGAAAGAGGAATTTACTGCACACTGCACTGAGGAATTACTTGTCCACTGTCCACTTTAGTCAGATTTTTCAAAGTTTCCTAGATTTTTTCAAGCAAGGTCTACTTATTAGATTTTACAATGGTACACATGATATCACAAGGTGGAAAAGAGTGTTTTCAGTCTGATAGAAGAGCTATGCAGCTCTGTTTTTGATGAGGAAATCCAGGTCTGTTTGTTATGAGGAAATAACATTATATCCAAATCAGAAAACAGCAAAATATAGCTTCATTAAATAATTAAATAAAAGTTGTTAATTGCTATGGCAGCAGTGATAATTTGTCTCTCAAATGCATGGCTAGGCCTACAGTAACAGTCCAGTCTATTATAAACTCAGCAAGGCAAAGCAGCAAAATATGCAGTCCAAGATGCACCGCTAAGCCCAGTTTAGTCCATTTACTTTCTAACAAGGTGGATTTAACTGTTATAATGTCCCACGAAGTTGAGCCACATTAAAATGCATTTCGCCCCATGATATGTCCTCTTTGGTCATTATTTCCATCAGCATCGGATCAAAACATGAAAAATCTGGACTTGTACTGGCCACCATGCTGAGATGTCATGTTAATGCAGTTGAATAGGTCCTTTGTTGACGTGTTGCTGCTCACAGTGGCCGCCCTGTCACACTAATGGGCTGATCATTGGCAGTCTGACCACAGTGCGGGCCTGAATCACTTTTAGCCCCCAGGACATGACCACAGGCACCCAGCAGGGGGAGTGTTCTAACACATGTTTAGGTGGGTAATTGACTGTAAACATGCGTACATGTGTTAAAGTGCACTGTGCCTCTCATGCTTTTCAAATTGATACAAACAGTTAGTGGGGTAGCACCTGTGGTACCTATATTGTAGTTTTAGACTTACACTTCTTAGACAAACTTAATAGACCCACAAGGGAAATTACTTGGACACTGTAGCTCACACATCACAATATACTACAACAAAGGAAAACAAGATAAAGTTAAGTGGAAAGAATTTGAAAAGAAATGAAACAAAAATAGAAGAAGAGCTCTAAATGGAATATGTCATCAATATGGAGACATTTTACGTGTAAGGAAGACATTTTTCAGTCAGTGTAAATCTTCATTTATAAATAAAGATTTTATTTATTTGTATTAGACCAATTATAACTATTGTGCAGTCAGTGTTGGGGAGTAACAGATTACATGTACCAGAGTTACGTAATCAGAGTACAAATTATGTGTAACTATATTCAGTTACAGTTACTGTTTCAATGAGCGGTAATTGGATTACAGTTACTTTGTTAAAATAAATGGATTACATTACATTACATTACATGTATTTTCCTGTTTTTACATTTTGGGCTATATCCCTTTTTCTTTTTCTTTTTTTTCGTAATTCCACTCATTGCCGGACACTAAACCAGGTCTAAAACAGGTCTATACTAGGTCTAAACCAGGACTAAACCCGGACTAAAACCGGGTCTAAACCAGGTCTAAATCAGATCTAAACCAGGTCTAAACCAGGTCTAAACCAGGTCTAAACCAGGTCTAAAACAGGACTAAACCCGGACTAAAACCAGGTCTAAACCAGATCTAAACCAGGTCTAAACCAGGTCTAAAACAGGTCTAAACCAGGTCTAAAACAGGTCTAAACCAGGTCTAAACCAGGTCTAAAACAGGACTAAACCCGGACTAAAACCAGGTCTAAACCAGATCTAAACCAGGTCTAAACCAGGTCTAAACCAGGTCTAAAACAGGTCTAAACCAGGTCTAAAACAGGTCTAAACCAGGTCTAAAACCAGATCTAAACCAGGTCTAAAACAGGTCTAAACCAGGTCTAAAACAGGTCTAAACCAGGTCTAAAACAGGATTTAACAGTACTAAACCATGCCGCGCGGACCGTGTCTCCTCTTCTTCTATCAATAATATTTTTAATACAGTTAAGGAAAGACTGGACTCTTTATTTTCTTTTATTAGACATAACATCTTATGTTACGATATCCTAGTCTTTGCTTCTCTACAGCAAATCAAGTAATCCAAAATATTCAGATTACGTTACTCACCTTAATTAACTTAATGGATTATGTTACAAACTACATTTTGGGGTATGTAATCTGTAATCTGTAGGGAAATACATTTTAAAAGTAACCTTCCCAACAGTATGTGCAGTTTAGGCAAGATTTGGCTTTTATTAACATTGTGGTTGCTAGGTAACAGTATAACCTCTGTTATATCATATCTGCTGTCAGGAAGCAAAACCAGAGTAGAGATTAAAGGTAGAGTGTGTAACTTTTCTGATGCCAGGTCTGTCAAATGTTTTTCTTCGTGGAGATGTTATTGCTTTGTCTGGAATGTTCCCCGTATGGCATTAAACCTTTCTATTGTCATGGAGACCAAACCCAGACCAAGTTAGAGGTCAGATCTGTGGAGATGCAACCCTGCTCACAGTCTGATGCCTGTTTTCTCTAAGTATTTTTGAGCTATAAAAGCATCTGTTATTGAATACATGTAAGGTAGATCTGATTAATGTCATATTGTGGAACATTCTAAGCAGAGCAGTGACATCTCCATAAAAACAAGCAGGTGGTGGATCCTCCTCCGGGAAAGTTACACAGTACACCTTTAAAAATGCACCGTGTAACTTTTCTGGCTATCTGTCTCCGTGGAAACAATCAGGTGACACCCCAAGACTTAGTTACAAGTCAGATTTATGGAGAGGCGAGCGATGCATGTTTTCATTGTCAGCAATAGAAACACATATAGGCCTAATTTAATACATGCGAGATAGATCAGCTTGTTGTCCAACTATGGGAAATTATACACCAAGTTATAGCATCGCCATGGAGACAAACAGCACCTAAGTTATACAGTGCAGCTTTAGTTTAATCTGTTCTCTGGAATTTAGAATAGAGAAATGCCTGAAATTTCTTCTGTAATTTTCACAGAAGAGTTGAGAATGTCTAATATTCATCTCGTCTAATCATTTACAGTCCAAGGGCACATCGCTGATTCCGTGTGGAACTGGAACAGCTGTTGATCATTTCTAATATTGTTTTCTACTCAGCACCATGTCTGTATATCTGAAGAACAAGACGTGGTTAATTTGAGAGGAGATCTGCTTTATGTCTCCTCTCTGACTGTTCTTAATGCGCCATTGAAAAGAGTTAATTGTCCATGTAAGTGTAGGTGCTTTCAAAGGGGACAGCATTCTTGAGGTGCGTGTATAATGTAGTGCAAAATTCTGGCCTGAAAAGTTAAATAAAATGGAAAAATGTATGTTATTTTAATCCATTTTATAATTATGAGTGGCTGAATGGACTTTACATTAATATAAAGGACTCAGATGACTGTATTTTTCGGACGCACCGGATTATAAAGCGCAGTATCAGTAATGTTGAATTCTCTCGTCTATTTTCATACATAAGGCGCATTAAGTGAAACAAATAAATGACACTTGAGACTAATCCTTAGTCCAGGCGTCCACGAGCCATTGGCAGATTGTGGCGTAATTCGCCCAGCGTTGCCTCCCTGTCTTGTTGAATGTGTATTATGGATGTGAATGTGGGTGAATTTTTTTTTTTTAATTTCCTACAAGAAGGGCAAAAATATACATTGAATAATAAATTGTTTGATGCAGCTTTGTGCACATTTGTTTATGTTTTACAGAAACAAAACTTAAAACCACATGGCTCATTTGCATAAACTATAACCACTGAAAACATAGCTTGCTTCTTGTGCGCTGATGCGGTCAGCTTCTGTCAGACTTACCGAAGTCGTGCTAAACCATACTGACAGATTTTTGAGCGCTGTGTACCACATAAAGTCTGTTCGAGGTCAATAAGCACAACCAGAATTAATACATAATGCGCACCAGATTGAGAGACTGTCGATTTTTGAGAAAATTAAAGGATTTTAAGTGTGCTTTATAGTATGAAAAATACAATTTTCTATGCTGATTTTCTGGTCTATTTCATAATGTTGTTTCCTCATCACAAACATACCTGGATTTATGTTTTGTGAGTTCTTCTCTCAAATGGAAAACACTTTGTGATGTCATGTGGTAATACAGGAAGTGCTCCACTGTGTTGTTAAACTCTATACACCTTCTCCATAATCATTTGGATCATTTCATACCTGTAATTGCTGATCTCTGCTAAATAAAAGGTGAAAAGTAGCTGTTAATTTGAAAACCACTACTTCATGATGTCACATGTTGGAAGAGAGCATTTTGAGTTTTGGAGATGTAGACAGACTAATAATAAAGGATTACTCAAACATTTGTGATTGAAACAAAACTGTAGATATGTTTTTGAGGAGGTAACAACATTATAACATACATTTTGCATAATATAAGGAGCCTATACTGTATACCTTTAACACATTTTTTTTATTTTTTTATTTTCAGATTGGCACGAGATGCTCCAGACAGATGCACCACTCACTTTGACGCAGTGGCACAAATACGAGGAGAGGCCTTTTTCTTCAAAGGTATTCCAGCTTTGAAATGTATTCATTATTTATTTGTTTGTTTCATTATAATTACCAAAGCAAGTAATATTAACAGCATTTCGTAAAAGGGTCAAGGTGGATGTACCATGCTTTAAAAATTCAGGTCTGTCAATTCGTCCAAGCAGCTTCTTCAGTTCTGATCAGATTGCCGGTGGGACACTGCTCTATAAGCTCCTCCCTTAAGACAGATACAAGACAGTATTATTATATTGTTTTTTCAGTATTACAAGTGAGTCTGTGTAATCCCTCACTCCTGCAGTTGTAGAAAAGAATGTCACTCTGGACACCATTTTAACTAATTTGAATAATGAATAATTTCTTGGACCACTACTTTGTTTACCTGACCAGTCAGTCCCTTCTGCATTCTGATCCAAAAGGGTCTGGAACCAGCCAATAGAGCGTGAAAATCCTCTGTCCAAACTTGACACGATCCAACCACAGCTGCTAATTTGCATCACGACATCTCCTTTTCAAAATTCTCTTATCATTCAAAACTGAATATATAATTTCTTTTACCTGAGATAATTAATATTTTGGTGTGTCAATTGTTGATTCTGTAAAAATCTTTTTTCGACACAAAACGGAGCATAGGTCTCTCTGATTGTTAATCCATCTGTCAATCATGCCCTCTGAAATCAGGGAAACAGATCCAGATCTACTTGTCTTTGTAAAGTTTTGTCAAAGCGTGTGGTTCTGGCTTAGCCTGATTCATCAGCCGGTTTCACTTTGTAGAAACCGTCTGATCTTGCAGGATTAGAATTTGTTTGCTCACCAGTAGGCAGGTACTTTTTTCATTTAATCAATTGCTGCTATTTGGTCATGACGTATGTAATGCGCCGCTAACAGGGCTAACTTTTATATTAAGCTTTTCCCAAATCCAGTAGAAAGAAGGGCAATAACATCTTTCCCCTTGATAAAATTCACCAAACATTCTCTTTGTTCCGGCTTTAAATCCTAAATCTCGGGAATCGTTGCCAACACAGAATGTACGGCTCTTCGCTGATTGGCTGGTGCCCGAACTTGCACTTCCGGGGTTCTGATTCCTGACCTAGTTGCCGGAGAGAAATGAAATTGAGCGGAGGCAGTAGGTGGTGCCAGCCTGGCTAGTTCTGACTGGCCAGGTAACTACTTTGTACTTCTACCTGAGTTATTCTGAAGTAACGTTGCTCTTACTTGAGTACATTTTTGGCTACTCTCCCCATCTCTGCCTCTATGACCTGGACTTTATGAAATGTTTAATCTCAAGCAAGTACAGGGTTGTGTGGGCATCGATATTGTGCATTAACTCACCATCGCACCAAGGTTATTCCAACTTTAATGAAAACTTAGCCGGCTGATAGTGGCTCTGTTTGAAAAGTGGAAGCAGAGAGTTGTGAGATAAATGGAAGCGGCTGCAGACAGGGTTATGGTGGCACCTGCGATCGATAGAAAACCAACTCATGTGTGGAGTGTGTCTGAGCCCGCATGGCCGGTGTCCTCTAAACAAAATGCCCCTATGGTACACAAGATGCTGCGCTAGCCTTCTTCCTACAGCGTGAAATCACCAACTCAGCTCATTAGCCGCTATGGATGGTATATGTTCAAAGTGGAACCGCATTGGAGAATAGAATTTAGTAATGTAATATAATGAATTAAAATGCTTATATTGCACTATTTCTGATCTCTGCTAAAATGTTGCTTCCTCATCACAAACAGACCTGGAGTTGTGTTTTGTTTCATTCACGCATGTTTAACTCACAAATCCTGCATATAATCCAAAATTTTTCTCTCAGACAAGAAACTCTGTTCAACCTTGTGATGTCATGTGGTAATACAGGAAGTGCTCCACTGTATTTTTAAACTCCACACACCTTGACTTAGAATAATTTGGATAATTTCAGCTCTGGAATTGCAGATTTCGGTTTGCAGTGCTCCACATATTCCTCACGACCCCATTGTATTCAGAACATCCTTTTTTTTTTTTTCAGTTTTTATCTGAAAGAAGTCCTTTTTACGACTTTCAGAGCCCAGAGTCGAGTTTTGGGCACCATGCTGATTCTAACTAGCATGCTAACAGTGCACCTCCTGATTCCTGGACAATGAAATGCTTTAGAATTTGATGCAGACAGAACAGAGCAGACTTATTTTACGCAAGAGCAGCTTATACAATATGTAAGATGAATCGTGCACACAAATCAGATACATTCCCTTTAAACAGATTTATCTTGCATTTTACAAGTGTTTTATTGCTGGAAAACAACTTAAAACAACAGGCATTCTTACTGTGAATTGACTTTGTGGCACCACCTGCTTGCCTACGTGGAGGTACATTTGATGCCATATTGTGGAACATTTCGGGCAAAGCAAAGACATCTAAATGGAGAAAGCAGATGGCGAAACCTCCCACCAGCAAAGTTACAGAGAGCATCTTTAACAGAAGAAGTCGTAAGATTTTATTAGATGTAATTGATCACCATGCTGAGATAAAAGGTTTCATTAATCATAAATAAGAAGAATTTGGAAATGAGTTGTTACATTTTCTTTGGGCCTGGTTGTAGAGAGAAGCGTGGCTTGAATACAGATGAGAGGAGGCTGGTGTGGTAAAGGCTGAGTTTTGTTTTCATTTCAGGGAAGTATTTTTGGAGGCTAACGCGAGAGAAGCACCTTGTGTCTCTGAGGCCAGCGCAGGTCCACAGATTCTGGAGAGGACTACCACCAAACCTGGACAGTGTGGACGCAGTGTACGAGAGGCCTGGAGATCACAAGATAGTCTTCTTCAAAGGTAGGATAACTAAGTAGTACAAAGCGATAACTACATATCAGACTAAGTTAGAAGATACAGGTATTTTTGAGATGATTTATTCATCTTGTGGTTCTCATCTTCAAAATTCTCCAGAAAATAAAATTCATGTCTCTTTGACTTATTCAATAAATAGAAGGACCATTTCTTGCATTCGGGTCATGTTGGACACAGTGGCTCTCTTATTAAAATGCATGTGAACACCTGCTGCACCTGCAAAGACTTGGTAATTCTCACATATTTGCATTATTCACACAAATTAGAATTTATAAACAATTTGCCTCAAGCTGCTTGATTTGGCACAACCCAGTGCAAGACACCCAATTAAGTTGAATCAAATGTGGTGTTCTGAGTATATCATTTAGCACTTTAGCTAAACCCTTTCTATTAACCCTTTCAGGTCTGAAGTACTGGGTGTTCAAAGACAACATAGTGGAGGAAGGATACCCTCGTCCCATCAGTGACTTTGGCTTACCCACAGACGGAGTGGACGCTGCTTTTGTGTGGCTCCACAACGACAAAACCTACTTCTTTAAGGACAACCTGTACTGGCGCTATGACGACCACCTGAGGAGGATGGACCTGGGCTACCCCAAAGACAGCTCCCTGTGGAAAGGGCTGCCCCCCAGCCTGGACGACGCCATGAGATGGTCTGATGGTGAGTAACAAGAACACTACCACAATATATAAAAGTGGAAGGGGTGTGAGTGTTTTTATGTTGATTTAATCAACAGCAGAATACTTGGAGTGACAGTGGCATGTGCTTGAGCAGTTGTCCTACAACTCAAGTCTCTACTGTAGTATTTGTGTTGGAGGTAGTGAGTATGAAAGATTCACACCTCATTAACACTCAGTTCGAGGTTGGTACAGCAAGCCTTTTGAGTGGGTTAACTACAGACTGCCTGTTACACCAGTCACGGTGTACTGCGGTGTGTAAAATATAATAAGATCTGACAAGATCAGGCTTTGACAAGGAGGTTTGACCACTTTTGACATGTGTGTATTTGATGTAGTCTGGTTTCACCCAGGTTCTTGTGATAACACAGAGAAGTAGTCATCTAATTACCTATGAACTCGTATAAACCCACTGTTAGCTGTAACACTGTGTGTAAGACTGGTGCACTGGTATTATAACACATATATTGAGGCCCACATTGGATCAGACCATTTACATTGTGGATTGGAGTGAGTATCTGCCACTCACTCGCCTTGCCAATACTGTCTTTTTCTTTTGTGCCACAATTTTTTGTGCTGACCACTGGAGTCCGATGACAGCCCACAGTAGAGTTTGGACGCTCTTCCCCAGTTAGTCGTGCCATTACAGCGGGGCTCCAAATCATCCAAATCATTTCCACCCATTTGTCAGCTCCGTTTTAGTGCAGGCTTTTACCCAGTTGTCTGACTATTACAGTATAGTCCAAAATTGTTCCCATCTTTGCTGACAGGTCCACACAAAGTAGAAAATGTTAAACTGTCACATTTATGGTACAATTTGACACATTCTTAACCTTCATCATGCTGTTAAATATACTGCACATAAGCTTAAGGTTCACCAAGAGGCCAGTGTTAGTGTCAGTGTTGCAAGAATGTTAAAATAGCTCAGACATGATGACTCTGGCACTGCTTCAGATTAATAGATATTTTAATGATTATCATTTAGGGCTGCGTTAATCAAATTTTAATCGAGAGTAAGATTCAGTCTAATTGTCAGTGATGTGCTTGGGTCTTTTTAATGAGAGCTTTACAGCCAGTCTTTCAGTAAAAGCATGTGGGTACGAGTAAAGTTTAGACTTTGAAGGAAAGAAATTTCTTTCTTTTTTTTTTCTTTTTTTTCTTGGTGTTAAGATACAAGAAAAAAAACAATACACTACAATTTGCAGTAAAATTTAATTTTATTTAAAGCAGTGTTGTTGTTTTTTATGATGCATTGAGTCACTTAAGTCGCAGGAGAGATGATGTCCTTCTCGTCGGTTTAGTGTTCTGAAGGCCCAGATGTGTTGGACCTTCTTGTAAACACTGTAAACCGTTGGAGCCATTTTGGTTTCCTGAAGATTGTCCTGCTTGTTCTTGTTTTCCGGAGATTAAATAATCTTGAAAACAGCACCCGGAGACGATTCGGAATCAGCCTGCCGAAGAAGGACCTGGAGGTTTTCTGAGTCAGTTGGCTAATCTGAGCTTCTGTAGCTTCTCTGTCCTGGAACAGCTTCTCAATGTCCTTCAGTATCTCTCTGCAATCAGGCAGCTCCTTTTTCAGTCTTTCTAAAATGTCTTTTGTGTCTGTCTCCAATGCAATGTTTAGTTGATCTTGTTGGATTTTGCAAGGATCAACTTCTGACTGGCTCCCTAGAATCCCTGTATCTCCATTGGCGCGGGGATCTTTAGTGGACTTCTGAGATCCACAAAATGAACTCACATCTGGAGAGCTAGTGGTACATTTGTAGCTACCACAAGTAGATTCAAATGAGATGGAAAGACTTGGGATTTGGAGGACAACATGCCAGGTATTGACATCTGATGAAACACTGACTGGATTAGGAACTGTTAAATCCATCTCGGCAATTTCTCGGTTGGCCTCTAGTTGTGATGGTTCAAACTCAGCCTCAGTGACACGCATTAACTCATGAGCCTCCTTCGTGTAGTCATCACCTTCAGGTAAGTGCTCCATGGTGATGAACGGGTGATCGAGGGCTTTCGATGGCATGATCCTCTCCTCCGCGTCCATTTTCAACATTTTACTGAGCAGGTCGTGAAACTGCTCCATATCTCTTTCCTCCTGATGGGAGACAAACTTTCTAGAACCTTTAAGAAGCTGCTCCAGGTTTGTTGCTGAAGGCTTGTGAAGTGCCATCCTAGGATTAATCCCAGTGGTCTTCGTAAACTCCTGCAGAGTTTTTAGTCTCCACTTGGAGTTTTCCTGAACGAAGTAGTTTGACGTGCACAATGCCACGTCCAGCAGCTTCTCTGAGGGAACCCCAAAGAAATGCACGATCTTGTTCAGGAAGTCGAACTCAGAAAATCCCTTGAAATCTGTGCTACGTACAAACCAGTGAAGGAGACAGCAAGCCACACCCCACATGTCAACAGCCTCCCAAAGTGGAAGACCCAAAGTTACTTCTGGGGCACGGTACGAAATTGCCTGCATCACCAGTCCAATTGGTACTTCTTCAGAGTGCCTTGCCAATCCAAAATCTATTAACTTAATTTTGAATGGCCTCTCCTTCTGGTTGACTAGCATAATGTTGTCTGGTTTAATGTCGGTGTGCATGACACCGACACAACGCAGACCATGAAGAGCTATGAGGAGCTGCTTTGCCATTGGTCGTATTTGGCTCAGCGTGAAACTCCTCATCTTTCGCCAGAGTCTGTAGACACTTAGATCTAACATCTCAAATGCGAGCGACCCACAGCCATCATGGTTTAAACAGTCAACCAGTTTGACCACGTTGAAGCTGTCTGGGTACTGTAGCCCCTCCTTGATGTAACTCAACATTTCCAACTCTCTGTGGAAATTTTGGGAGGAGGTTCCGTCACCCTTGAGGCATTTTAAAGCGACAAGTTCCCCTGTCACTCGATCACGGCACTTGGTAACGGTACCGTAAACGCCCTCTCCGATGACTCCCAAAACCTCGTACTTGGTTTCGGGGTTGGTTTGCTTTAAACCGGTGAAATCCATTGCCGAAAACACGTTGCGATCTGCGAGCTCTGCTGAGTCTGTGCGTACACTGGTTGTGTCTGGGTTGAAGTGACCTTTATTTAGTGTGCTTCTAGAACAGAAAACTCCATGGCAACGATGACGCACAAAGTTACGTAACCGCATTCTACCCGTTTATGCAAATAGAATGTTTATATTTGATTTGTATGTATAAATCAAAAATCTAATCGCTATGGCAACGCTTATAAGTGAAATGCCAAGCCCAAATTATAGTTCTGTATCGACTTAACGCACACTGCCTCGTCGCCGTCGTAGTAAAATCCCGATTCCTCACTCCACCTCGGTTACGAATTTAATAAGTCAACGCTAAAGTGAAAGGCACCAGCTGTTCGCCAAGAAATGCCTTCCACTGCAAAGCGACCAAGACGTGATGTTGCTGTAAAACCACAAGAACAAGAAAGTGCGAGCTCAGCCTGTTTGTCTTCTGTACCTCTCGCTTAACAAACAGGATTTTCTTTGTTGGCGCTCCACATACAAAGGCTACGTTTAGACTAGGGTTGTCCCGATCCAATCACGTGACCAGAAATCTGTGCCGATCACGTGACTGCGGAATCTATCTGGACTCGACTGTTAAGGTCCGATCAGGTATCGGATAAATAATATACGTACATAACACACGGTGCACAGAGGACACACAGCACACAACAATTTGTTTTTTAACTGAGGCGCGGGATTTGCTCAGGGACGTCCAGTCAGCGCAACTGAGTGGGATCAGCAGAAGCAAAAACATCAGTGGAGTCCATTCCTGACAGAGAGGTTCAGAGCTTCACAAACACACTCGATCTGCCTTTTTTTTTCAGGACCGGTTCCATCCAAACCCATGTCTTGCCCATCCAATCAAAAACCCTTAAATTTCCATAGAGCATCCTTAAAGGGCCCATCTCATGCAAAATCAACTTTTTAGAGCTTTCTACCTTCTAAGAGTGATGTGTGGATCCTGTATATGTCGCCGAAGTGGTTTTTAGATTGATTCGGCGTTTTTCTTTAAATTGCAGCGCATTTTGATTGATTGATTGATTGCATTTAAATAGCGCCTTTCAAGATACTCAAAGTGCTTTACAGTTCATTATTCAGTCACTCCACACTCAGTGTTGGTAATCTACTACTGTAGCCACAGCTGCCCTGGGGCAGACTGACGGAAGCGAGGCTGCCAATCTGCGCCATCGGCCCCTCCGACCACCACCAACACTCACGCTCACACCACTTTCATACTAGGCAATGTGGGTGAAGTGTCTTGCATAAGGACACAACAGCAGTTTTTTTTTGCCCCTGGCGCCCCCCTGTGGCACCTGGAATTCCTAGTGGTCTCCCGTCCAAGTACTACCCAGGCCCAGCCTGCTTAGCGTCTTAGATCTGACGGGATCAGGCTTAGACAAGCTGGTATGGCCATTTCTGGCACCCTCCCACGTGACAACGAACTAAAGCTGCTACACCTATGACGCGTTTGACGTAGCAGAAAGCGCTTTGCACCCGACCCCCTCCCCCGCCTCCACCCAGCATCGGCTGACAATTCCCACATGAACACCTAAACAAAAGCGACAGCATAAGCTCATTGTTCTACACTGCAGTGTACATGATATACAGCTGGAGACAGCAGTACTCGGAGCGTGTTGCACACTTCTTTCGCCTCTATCCCGGTGGGAGAGGTGTACAACGGTTTTAGTTTGAGTTATCGTGCTGTTTGTATTGCTGGGGGCTTCCCACAGATACCATATTAGGAGAAAGGGTCCCACAAGTATTGTAATTACAATCCAGCATGTAATAGAAATTTTAAGCCACGATTGAGTCATTTTGTTCAGCGTTATTGCTTTTGTATGAGATTATTTTCTTGCAATGAGACAAATGGATCCAAGTGGATCTTTCAGCTATTTTAATTGCTGTAGGCGTAGTTAGTAGTACTTGATAGGGTCCATCCCACTTAGGCGAGACCAGTGTTTCTTCTTGAT